CCTACCTTGGGGTCACATGCCCAACACTGAACCAGTAACTGTGACAAAGCTTGGCTCTGACTGGTTGGTCCTGAATGGGCAGCTGGACCAGGGAGAGAGGGGTCAGCCCTCCTGGATCCTTGGACTGAGTGAGGCAGTTCCCAAAGACAGTAGAGTTTTGCATGAACAGTGGGAATGGGATGCCCCAAGATTCTTCAGGCAGCTACAGAGGCTCCAAGGCCCTTGTCTTCTGCACCCCATTCTCCTTCAGTCTTTATGCTAGGCTTGGGTCTCTGCATTCCTTTATGGGAATCAGGAACTTAGAGTTCAAAGCTGTGGCTGAAGGCCTGGCTGCATTCTGGGATATCAGCCATTTCCTGGGAAGTAAAGGGTCATCTGGTAGCCAGAGAAGGGAAGGGTCTGGGGCCTGTCCTCTGGCTTCTATGTTACCAGGTCTCAGTAATCCCCCAGCTCCTGAACTGGCTTGCTGCACCCCTAGGGTAGGGCAGGGTTCCCGCTAGACTGGAAGGGTGGGCCCCACCTCCTCTAGGCAGTGCCCCAGGCTGTCACAACGGGGAGGATTGTTCCCAATGCGTGTCTGGGCCAGAAAACACAAGTGGCCACTGTGTCCACTTTCAAGGGTGTAGGCTCCAAGGTTAGAGACTGCCAGCCACCAGCAGGGCTAGGGATCCCCCTCATCCGTGGTCTGGCCTCAGTACCAGTGGAGTTGGACTTTGGAAGCTTCAATACTGTGCTGGATGCCTGCTCACCTCATTTGTTCAGACCCTCACCACTCTCTCCAGGCTCTCCCTATATCACAGAGAGCTTGGACATCATACCCACCCTCCATCTGTATAGAGGGAAAACAGAGACCCAGGCAGGACTCATGCCGGCTGCATAGGCAACTCTGGAAAGCAGTTAGGTTCAAAGACTTTGAAATACCAGGGGCCCAAGTCTGTTGTTACAGCTATCTGACCTTGGACTTGGCTTCACCCCTCTGAACATACGTTTTCTCTTTTATGGGTTTCATTCTGTTGGTCAGGATGGGCTTGGAGGACCAAGCAGTTGGTACTGCAGCTACCACACCTGTTCATCCATTTTCTTATACATAAAACAGACACAGACAAGCAAGCGAGCAGTCTCCAGGAAGCACAGCATTCTCTTTGAACCCAAGGTCCAAGTCAAGACCACAGTCCTGGGCTCCATCTCTCCTTTCCGGGCCTCAGTCTGCAGTCTGGAAGGTGGGCATGTAGCCAGGGCCTGCCTCGATCAGTGCTGCACCTGCCAAGGCCCCCTTGCTATGAGTGCTGGTGCTGGCTGTGCTTGTCATGTTTTTAGCTCATGGCCAGCACACTGGCTTGTGACAGACACGGCCTTCAAAAGTCACAGGCTTGGGAATCGAGCTCCTCCTCTGTTGCCTGAGAATGGTATTTGCCTTCCAGGTCTGAGTGGCAGTGGTCAGCACTGGCTGTTTTTTTTTTTTTTTTTTTTTGGTTTTTTGTTTTTTTGTTTTTTCATCACTGTTACAACATCCTTGGCTGCCTTTTGGGAATGGGTTGTTGCTTCAGCCAGACTTTGAAGGAATTTGATTTTGGCACGGTGACTGCACGGCCCCTCCTTGGTGGGCTCTGGCTCTGAAATCTGAGCGAGTCACTGGGCACTGACTGAGCAGTCTCGGTGTTGACACTGGCTCCTTGCTGAAGGCCCAGCCCTTTGGTAAATGCCGCTTTTACAGTGTGGCAAAGCAGGTCCTGTATAATCCTGGAAGACAGTCCCCTCCCCCACGTTTACAGGAAAACATATTTTATTTATTTTTTTCTTTCAAGAAACTCAGGAAAAAGTGACATAGAGCCTTCTTCACCAGAACTCTCGGCACTGAAAGGTGGTTGTAAATGGGTGGCTTTTGCCTAGCTCATTGTGGTTGAGGAGGTGCTGTGGTCACCTGACTCTCCATCTGCCATCCCCAAAGGCCTCACCCTTCCTCTCTGCTTCTCTAAGGCTCAACTTCTCTTCTAGGAGAGAGAGACAGAGACTCTAGCTGCTCATCTGATAGGTTTTTAAAGTGTTCTGAAAACAGCATTCAAAATTGAGTTGAGGGAAAAAGGACCTCCTGACACACATTCACCCTGCTGATCTGGGCTCCTGGGCTGGCTGCTGGAGGTCTCATGACTTCTGCTCTGGAAAAAACAAGCAAGCAAACAAACAAAAACAAAAAACTCTGGTGGAGGAAAACCTGGTTAGTGGGAGTGTGCAGGCTTCCAGGGGTCCAGACCCACCCTTGGGCTTTGCCTCTGTTTCCCCATCTAACTGCACTGCCCTGGAGGATGGTTGAGATAGTAACTGAGTTAGCACACTTTGGGAGCATAAGACAAGGGTGGGCAAAGCCTGCTCCCTATAAACAAACTATCCCGATCACGTGTGGGGCCTGGGGCTCTTGGCATCCTGGACAGGATCCGAACTGAGAACAGACAGGAAAATGCCGGTTTGCATTCTCCCCACTACTTCCTTTGCAAAGGCTCCCTCTGAGGTTGGTGCCTTGTGGGGCCATGCCCATTATAAGCAGCCACCTGCTGCCTCTCAGCAGGATAGGTGGCACTTTGATTCCTGAGACCAGGGAAAGGGTGGCTGTTTGAGTGTCACCCTATACGGGCATTGCTCGAGGAGTAGCAAAGGTCATCAAGTTACAGAGGCGTCTCAGTGCTGGAGAGTGCATAGTCTAGAGCAGTGGTCCAACCTATGGGTTGTGACCACTTTAAGAGGGGATCTGACAACCCTTTCACAGGGGTCACCTAAGACCATCAGAAAACACAGATTCATTATAATTCATAGCAGTAGCAAAATTATAGTTAGGAAGTAGCAACAAAAAAGTTTCATGGTTGGGGGTCACGGCAACAGGAGGAACTATATTAAAGGGTCACAGCATTAGAAAGGGTGAAAGCCACTACCCTAGAGAATGTAGAGAATCTGTGATAGTAGATGACCCAGGTGCAAATTCCAGGCATGTATGTCCCCTCTCTGAACTTGGCCTTGCTTCTCAACCTTGCAGCGGGAGTCCGAGGTGCAGGTCGCTGTGGACTGACCCTGTGGGTGAATGTGCATTGTCACATAGAGCTGCAGGTCGCTGTATTCCGACCCTTGGGTGAATGTGTATTGTCACCCAGGGGCTGACGATGCACAGAGAGAACTGTCCTGAATGTGCAGAGTTGTCAGCTAAGGTCAGAGGTCAGGGTGGGTGTGAGGCACAGCACCCTCAAGAAGGCGTGGGTGGAGCATGGGTGTTCACAGCCCTGGGGTACCCACTGCCCTTGTGCTTGGTAAAAAGCAAGTGATGGCATCTAGGACTATGTCATCATAGTGTGTCCTCTGTCAACATTGTGAACAGGCCCTTGTGAGCACAGGGGTAAAGAGAGTAAAGGTTGTAGCAGCATCATTTGCAGCTTGAAGGACACAAAGGGAGCTCTGTGTGGGTCTTGTGTCCTAATTTGGGCCCCTTGGGAGGTGGAGTTGGTGGCACCTTACAAGTTATTTCACACTTTCTTTTGGAATTTTGGCAAAATAGTTACTGTCCCGTTTATCACATTAGCTTTTCCAAGGCTTACAGCTCCTAAATATGTCCACAAGCCTTTACCACTGTCTATGCTCCTAGGTTTTGTTTTATTATTTTATTTTTGAGACATTGTCTAATATAACCTGGAACTCACAATATATAGACCAGGCTGGTTTCAAACTTGGAGAGACCCTCCTGCCTCTGCATCCTGAATGCTGAGATTCATGGCCTGTGTCACCATGCCTGGCTCAAGGGTCTTTTGTTTTTAAATCATCTCCAACAAATTCTGGATCTGTTAAGTGGTCACCCCACCCCACCCACACACAGTCCCTGGTAACCTCTATTTGAGTTTTTGCCTCTGTCGCTGACCACCCTAGGTCAGTTGGATGGAATCATAAAACATTTAGCTTTTGTGTGTGGCTGGTTTCTCTCTCCCTCCCCTTTGTTTTTTATGAGTATGGTTACCTTCATGTATGTCTGTGCATTATATACATGCTGTGCCCAAGGAGGCCAGAAGACGGTATTGAATCTTCCTCCCATGGATTATGGATGGCTATGACCCACCATGTGGGTGCTGGGAATTGAACCCAGGTCCTTTGCAAGAGCAGCCAGTGCTCTTAACCTCTGAGCCATCTCTTCAGCCCCAGAGAACAGCATTTTCAAGGTTCATTTGTTACTGTTGTGGCATTTCCTGGTGGAATACCAGCCTCCTGCATGTATGTGTTCATTTCTTTGGTGACCCTTAGGTGGGTCCCACCCTTGGCTGGGCGGATGCAGTGCAGTGTGCTGACAAGCTCGAATCCCCACTTCAGGCTGCTTTGGCTCTGAGCCTGTAGTGGGAGTGCAGGGTCTGCGTTGTTCCCTGGACTCTACCCGTCGTTCACTGCTGTCCCGGTCCTGCGCCACTCCAGTTCTCCTTGCTCCTGTTAAGTTTCTGTTTCCTGGCTGTCATCTGAGCTGGAGAAAGCTTTCACTGTCTTTCTCCTCAGAGAAGAAGCAGTGTTCTGCCCAGGTGACATGCAGCCAGGAGGCACTTGCATGTGGATGCCCACACACGAACCTTAAACGGAGCATTGTGACAATGCTTATGAGTCTCCAGTTCAGGCTATTCCTGGCCGGCTGTCAGGAATGGTTTTCCTCAGAGTTTTTGTTCTTTTTCTTTCTTTGTTGTATTATAAAGACTTTTTTTTAATGTGTATACACTAGGCTATTCTTATATTCTCCCCCCGCCCCATTGTATGGTTATATCTTATTTCCTTACTAAATACATAGAATGGTCTTTCTGGTCCAAGCTCCCCTATGTTGACACCTCGTGTGCCCTGGCCATTGTCGAAAAGTGTCTGTGCCAAGTCAATGTCACAGATGCTTGGATATCCACCTCTGTTTTCACATTTGTATGGGTGGGGGCTAAGAAGCCTTCCAGGGACATCTCCTGCCCAGCCTGTCTGTAACCTTCCATATCTCCGCATTGCAGGCCAAAAACAAGGAGACGGGTGCCTTGGCAGCAGCCAAAGTCATTGAGACCAAGAGCGAGGAGGAGCTGGAAGACTACATTGTGGAGATTGAGATCCTAGCCACCTGCGATCACCCGTACATCGTGAAGCTCCTGGGGGCCTATTACTATGATGGGAAGCTGTGGGTAAGAGTGCGCCAGCTGGATCCTGATGCCCATCGTGCTTACTCAGCATCTGCTATGTGGGTCAGGGCTGCAGCAGGGAGAAGGTGAAGTCGGCTGCTGAGTCCTTGGCCTCCCTTTCTCTCACTCTCCCCAGTTCCAACACTCAGGCCAAGGCCACAGAAACAAGTGTCCCAAAAGTCCTTTCTGTCCTTGAGTCCTGTGCTGTAGCATATGAACTAGAGAAGGCTGGACCATTGCTAACGCTTTGTGAATGGAGGGTCAAACATCCGACACAGTCCAAAGGCTGCTGCTGCTCAGGGCATTCCTGACTTCTTACCGTCAGCTGGGGAGGCTTGGGGCAGCTCCCCTGCTGAAGCCTTTGTGTGTTAGGTCTGAGGGCCTCTCGAGACTGAACATGGCACCCCATAAGGAATTCTCACCTCATGGTGCCTTTGACGGGGGACACTCCATGGTTAAGTGGGTGAATTGTTTGAATGCTCAGAGGCCGGGTGTGGACAGGATGCCTGAGTGCTGACCGTGGTATCATTTGAGGACTCGCAGCTCTCCCGCTTCTATGCTCTTCCCTCCCAAGCATCACCCTTGGCTCCTGCAAGCGTTCTGGGACCTCACTGGCTCCATAGGTTGAGGCAGCCCTGCATATACCCCTGTCATCAGCCTGCCTCATGTTGACACTTCTCAGCTGTCAAACCCAGATGCTCTAGAATGTTCACCCTGTTAAACTTGTTTCCTGCCAGGACTCTCTTCTGAGTGTGTGTGTGTATGTGTGTGTTTTCAATGGTGGGAACTGAGTCCAGGGCCTGTGTATGCTAGGCAAGTGCTCTACCACTTAGCAACATCTCTAGCCTAGTAGCATATATATGTGTGTGTGTGTGTGTGTGTGTGTGTGTGTGTGTGTGTATGTGTGTATGTGTGTGTGTGTGTTTATGTGTTCCATGCACATACATACATATATGTATATATGCATATATATAAATAATCACCCTCTATAAATACCAAGAAAGTGAAGTGATGTGCAAGAAACATCTCAAGTAAATTCTGGGTGTGGCTGGCAGTGTCAGAATCTTGCAGGCATTTGGAGACATGACTGAGGGTCCTCAGGCACCAGGCATCTCAGCCATCCCTGAGGCTATAGGAGCCCGGGTCTTGCCACTGCAGCTGGGAGGGCTAGTTCAGAAGCATCCATTGATGAGAAAGGGATGCTGTAGGTGTGGTGCATAGCACCGTGGTGGTTGGTGTATTTGCAGCATTTTCCATGCGTAGTCAGGTCTCAGAACACTGGGAACTTGCTATTGGCCAGGGATGCTTTGCCATTTTTCTTGCCCAGTGGGAAGCAGAGTCTTGGCTTTATATTGACAGAATGCCTGACTTACTCCTGCTAAATGGGGAAACCTGGCTTACTGGAGAAAGAGATCTGACTGCTTAGGAAAACAGAGAATTCACAACAAGGCCCTGTGTTCTCACCTCACAGGCAGGAAGAGTAGCCAGCAGGAGGAAGTCAGTGGCCAAAGGAAGGGGCTTGGCCTTCCCAGCTTGTGTGAGTCTGGTGCCCAGTGCTGTGAGATGCCTGAGGAGGGGCTTCTTGAACACAAGACGTTTAGTTGGCACGCAACTCTGGAGGTTCAGGGCTGTGATACCAAGGTTGGCGGGGCTCTCACAAAGGGCTCAGGTCAGTGGGAATCATGGAGGGTTTTGTTGAAGAAAATATCATAATGATATTGGGCGCCAGAGAGCTTCCAGGGTCCCAGAAAGACCTCCTTCCTCATTAGTTGCTTCTTAGGGCCTGTCTCTGTGACTTCGTGACCAGTCTCCACTCTTAAAGGTGATGTCACCTCCCATTAATATCACTACATTGGAGACCAGGTTTCCAGTGCCTGAACTCTTGGGGGACACACAAGCCACAGCATAGCACCCCTACCCAGGGCTCTGTCCCCTGTCACTTGCTGTCCTCCAGGGCTCTGTCCCTGTTACTTGCTGTTCCCCCACCCTGGGCTCTGTACCCTGTAATTCCCCCGACCCCTGGACTCTTCCCTGTCACTTGTATCTTTCGTTTTACTGCGTAGAGCATCTCTTGGGGGAGCCATCTGGGCAGGAGTGGGGAAATACAGCTCACACAGCCAACTTAAGATTCTAAAGCCCTGTTTGTCCTCTGTCACCTGGGACCATGGAGGTGGGGCAGGACAGGGAGAGTCACTACGCGGTCTTGCTTTTCCAGGGGAAGACACAGAGGCATGGAGAGGTGAGCCTCTTGCTCAAATCCAAAGGGTGGATGACGCCAAACTTCATGTTTTCTCTGTTTGGATTCATGGAGCTGCTTTCTGTTGTGTTTGTTTCAGGGCCTCAGTGTCAGTCACAATAGATGAACAACAGTGGCTCTCCATCCACCATCACTTCATTTGTTTCTCCATCCACCATCGCTCCATCCACCTCTCCCCATCTGCCATCACTCCATCCACCTCTCCCCATCCGCCATTACTCCATCCACCTCTCCCCATCCGCCATCACTCCATCCACCTCTCCCCATCTGCCATCACTCCATCCACCTCTCCCCATCCGCCGTCACTCCATCACTCCATCCACCTCTCCCCATCCGCCATCACTCCATCCACCTCTCCCCATCCGCCATCACTCCATCCACCTCTCCCCATCTGCCATCACTGCATCCACCTCTCCCCTGTCCACCATCACTCCATCCGCCATCACTTCATCTGTCTCTCCATCCACCATCACTCCATCACTCCATCCACTCCATCCACCATCCACCTCCAGGCCTCAGATGCTATCTGACAATTCTTAGCTTTTGGGTTGATGAAAGCTAGGGACCTGTTCATGCATTCCAAAAGAATTTGCATAGTAATCACAGGATATTAGGTCACACATAGAGGTGGACAATGAATGGCTTTTTAAAGGGGCAAAGATGACCTAAGATGATTTGGCTCTGGAGCTGCAACATTCAAACTTAAAGTTCCAGTCCGTTGATCAGTTTTCATACAGTGTTCAGTATAGGTGTAACTTCTTTTGGGAACTTCAGTTTATAGGATCATTGCTGCTCTGGGGCCAGGATGACCCCTGGGAGAGATGCAGCTAGAACAGTAATTAGAGAACATATTGTGCAATGCCTGGAAAACAAGGTGAAGATTTTACACCTGACCTTATCGAGGTCAGCCTTTAGACCAGCAGGCTCAGCACCTCCTGAGTCTGTTGTAATGGAGCCCCACCTGGTCCTCCGCAGTCATAAGCAGGGTGCTGCCCAGCAGCCTGTAGTTTGAGGGCCTTCTAGGTGAGTCATGCTGGTTTAAGTTTAAAAACATCTATTTTAAACCTTGGCAACCCAGTTTCAGTTTTGCTCAGGGAAGTACATTCTGTGTTGTAGAAGAACGTCAGCTTTGGGGGCACAGGGTAAAGCACTGAGTCTGGTCAGGAAGCTGTTCAAAGTGGTTCCGGCTAGAAGCCTAAGGATGTGCTGTGGAACATGGACCACCTCAGGGGAAGGGGCATTTGAACTGTGAGCAGCTGTGCAGTTCTGAGGTTGAAGGCCACACTGGCTGTGTTGTCACTTCTGTGGGGTGGCTTGAGGTCCAGGCTTCCTGCGTGGTCTCAGGAGCCAGCTTTCCCTTGTAGGTGTGTAGCAGAACCAGTCGGGGCTGCTCATGGGATGGGCCTTAAAGAGCTGGCTGTTAACCAAGCTCCTGCATCCTGCACAGGTGGGATGGACCTTTCCTGCTATAGTGTTGAGTCCTCACCTACCATCCTACAAAGTGAGGTCATGGTCTTCCAGAATTTATAGATGAGCAAAATCCCTCTAGATGCTTATTTCCACTTTTGCTTTTAAATATTTAATGGTACAAATGGTGGACATCACACACACACACACACACACACACACACACACCCCACATACACCACACCACTAGCCCCCCCCCACACACAACACATACACTCACCTGGCTCCACATGCCTTGGAGAGCGAGCTGCAGACCCATGAGAGCTATGAACACTGTGTCTCTGGGGTTCTGTTTCTGGTGGCTTCGTTTGTTCTGACAGCTGTGTTTGAAGGGGCAGGTAGGGGGATTTTCCTTAAATAAGAATTTATTAAACACCTAGATGTGTTGGCACATGCCTTTAATACTAGCTCTCTAGAGGCAAAGGCAGGCAGATCTCTGAGTTCCAGGACAGCCAGGGCTACACAGAAACCCTTTCTCAAAAAATAAAAACAAAAACAAAGTATTTAACCCAGTGCAAGAGGCCATTTTGACATATAATCAATATAGAAGTTACAGCTCTTTTATTCTATCTTCAAATCCTGTGTGTTTTGTCCTTGCAGCATCTTTTTAAAAATTAAGACATTTTAAACTTTAAACTTTATCTACTCATATGTTACAAAATTCCCATAAGATTCACATCCCCACGTGTCCTTGTATCTTTGGTATGTTCAAGAGCTGAACTGAGTGGATTTGAACATTTAACTTAGTTGGAGTACATGTGAGTACAGTGGCCGATGGTCAGTTTCCTCCCTAAGTGGCTACTGTATTGACTGGCCCCTGGCTTCCCAGTTCATCCACCATGGGCTGACCCCATGTAGCCTTGGCCACATAATTGTCCCCACCCATTCCACCCCTAAACCAGATGGCAATCTCTGGGTCTCTCCCAGCATGCACTGGGTCTCTTTCTCAGCATGCACTGGGGGGGGGGGGGTAGGCTCTCTCCCAGCATGCACTGGTAAGAATGTTGACAGGGAAGCTGTACTCTCTGGGTGTGCACAGAGACGTTTTGGATGGAACACTTTGGCTTCTAACTAATGCTCATTTCTGTTGTGTAAATGTTCCGGGGCCATGCAGTGTACTAACAAAGTCTGGTCTCTCTGGGCTCAGAGTTTGCGAGTACAAACAAACTCTGAAATACAGACGTGTGTGGGAGGACTTGAGCAAGTGAGGTAGAGCAATGCAGTGGGGAAGTACCCCAGACATAGTTTTCTGGGGTGTGGTCAGGAGCCGGGGCTTGCA